GTGCATGTACTCTGTTTTGTAGCCTTTTCCGTTACTACAAGTAACGCAGCACCGCCTTCTTGAGCTTGAAAAACCCGCGCTTCCACTTCTCCATGTTGTGAGTAACTCCTTCACATGGTAAAACTCTTCACGTTTGTTTAAAAACCAACCGCCACCACTCGAATCCAGCTACAAGAAAACTCCCGAAATTGACATCTCCATCCACGAGCTGGGAGCCACTAAACGTTCTAAATGTGCAAGTTCAAGAGGAATATCGACAACTGCAGGCTACTTCATTGCGAGGAAGCACGATCAAGATTACTACCTAGAGCTCTTCGATAACTAAACAACTTGGGAATGAAATTTGTAACAGCAAAGTAGGGCTCAAGTCAGTTTATTCTGAACACATCGAAGTTGCCTGTGTAGTTGAATTTGAATCCTCTCCACTACTCATTCCCTACCGCAGAGACCATTTTCTATATTATAAGTTTATAACTGATTGCTTACATCTAAAACAGTTGTGATTCATTACAAACATAACCACCACTATAATCTTGTGTAACTCTTAAACTCATTCCCACTTCCTACTTCAGACAAAGTGAACTTCACAGGGATCACAGAAAGAACATTAGAACACCTTGACCTCAAGAACAAAGAAGTTCAGGGCCACATATGAAGTGTTTGCTGTCACATAATAGTTTTGAAAGGGAGCTTCATAGGGACCATATAACATCAACAACAAACAATTCCACCAAAACATACCTTTTTTATTTCACCCCTTTTTTTTGAGGAAAAAATTTACCTCCCACAATGAGATATCCTTCAATCAACAAAGGAAATGCATGTTTTACACGATGGCTGAAGCCAAGTTGCAGAGTCAACATGCTTAGGATATCTTGAAACATTAATCTCCGACCAAAATTGATAAACGCCAAGCCTTTGAGAAAGCTTCACACTATGCATTCACCAAATGGCATAGGTCTTAAATTTGATAAGTTGCTAGCTTAAAGTTGAGATCAACGACAAGCTTTATGTTGTCGTATTCAATCATGTTAAAAAGATCCATCAATAATTTGTATTATTATTTAACCTATTAATGAGAAAATTCTAAATCTCGAGAACAAATTTCTATAACAAGGTTGTTTTCCAATTTAAGGATGATAAATTTCACTCCTTCTCGTGAGCATACATTTGGCTAGTTTCACATCAATGGCTTGTTTAGGATACAAGAATTTTTTTCTGCCGTCTTCATCATTCTTATTCAGAATCTTTCTAGGCCTATTAAGTTGATATTTCTCTGTTGTAGAAGAGGATTCAATTCATAGCAATGTGTGCATAGTTGTGAGTAGCATAATCCAATCTTGTCAAGAATCTTGAGCAAACTTTCTCCTATTATCTTCGTCATTAATCAGCAACATAGTTAAAATTTTGCTCTGTGTATAAAATGTCCATAGTCACATATAAAATATGCTCTTTGCTTCTGACGTCCTCAATGGTCTTAAGGAGGATTCCTGGTGATTGGTATCTTGCTGGACAACATAGAACTCATTGCTTGGTAGGTTAAAAAGACTCTTTATGTTGTCACTCTAAATTGAGGACCGACAAATATTTTCGCTGTTAATTGGAAATCCTATATTTTCACATGATGTTCAATGCGGTGTTATACAAAAGTGACAAAACCAATAAGCCTTGCTGCCCTAGGCGCTCTATCGAGGCAACTTTGCACCACAGTGCTAGGCGACTAGGGAAACGCCTGAGGTCCAAAAGGCGTCCCCGAGGCGTACGAGGCGAGGAGCAAAAATCGCCCACCTCTATTTTGAACCTAGAGGGGGTTGTCTAACCCCCATATATGTGGTGATTTGCTTTGAGTTCACTCCACTTAGGTACAATGCATTGTTAAAAAAAAGGGAAATTTATTAAGGAGAATATGTTAGATACTCAAGCCAATTTAGGGCGCATTAAGGATTATGACTTTTGCATTCTCTTTAATTACTTTTTAAGTTTTTCATTGAGCTTCAGTGACCACCTTAGGCCTCTCCGCACCAGCGACCATTGGTATGGGAATCTTTTTTTAATTTGTTTTATGTTTCTGTGTTTTTATTGATTTCTTGGTTTGTATTTTTAGAAATAACACTATCATTTTGAAAACATCTCACATATTAAGACTTGAATTAAAGTTCAAAATTATCGCTAAATTTATCTATATAACTAGTCATTATCTAGTATTTAGTACTTGTTAGTTACTGCTTTATTAGATGATTTATGTTTTGTTAGTTATCGTACCCTGTGGCTTCAGGTATTCGGTTGTGGTTCATCCATTTCTTATTGTGCCTTATTAATGTCCTGTTTAATTGCACATTATTTGTAACTTTCATGAATTCGTAAATATTTATCGTCTTTCTTAAGTCAGGTGACACTTTCTTTGGCCCCTCTTACCTCGGGTAACATGGAACCTCATTGCCTTGACTCTGACTTTCACGTTAAACATAGTTTCCATGAGTTCCCAACTAGTTGCTTGATTCTAAATTTATATCGCTCCTAAGCTCCAACGAGGCAAACTCCAAAAGTTGCAACTTGCTAGAACTTTTGGTGCATATACGCCTCAGTAGACATATGTCCCTCCAGGAAGTGCATCAGCTCTCCACAGCTACAGCAACATCTTAGCTTCTGTTTCCAACGATCTATTCGAAGTTGGACTTGGACAACTTCACACTAGTACTGAATGGGATTAAAACTGCAGAGTTAAAGGCTTAAAGCAGAACCTCAAAGAGTTTTTGTTGATTGGGAAAAACGAATTAGTGAAGAACACAATAAAAGGATATATCATTATAATTTCAACAGATTCTGAAGGGCTGAATTAGATAAAGATGAAGACAATGCAGAAAATACAAATCTTAGATCTTCCTACCAAGCAAAGTCGTAACAGCCAATAAGTAGAAGATTATGATTAAAAGAAAGTAATAAAGGATGGATACTCCGACGACATTGTTTTACCCATCGGATGCTTATATAAAAAGAGTCCGAACAAAAGATAACAAAGCAATGAAATGCGTAAAGCGAGACAAATATGTATACTGGAAAAGGCGATAAGGCAATAATCTACAGGTCAACAAAAAAATCCACAATGCCAGTCAACAACATTTAACTTCGAGCCCATTGCTTTCCAACACTCAAAGAAAAGCTACCAAAAAAATATGTACATTTGGCAGAGTCGATTAATGCACAAAGCCACAAACCTAACTTCTTGTCAAACTCGTCCCCCAAGAAGAAATAAGACATCAAAGAAGCAAACAACTATTATCACCTCCAACCTCCTCTTCACAAGGATCAAACCTTCGCTAACCACCAATTCTCACACATAAGGAAATAGGGAAAATATGACAATTAACTGTTATATGCATCTTTGATTCAGAGTCCTGTGTCATGGCATAAAAGGAGCGTAAACTGTAGAGAAATCAAAATTCCCTGACAGTATCAGCGTGTTTCCGTTCCAAGACTGCAAAAACAATTTAGAGGGGAAAATGATGCTGCTTGAATTCGTCTCGTATAGTCGATGTTTCTCAATTTCCATTAAGTCACGTCCATTTGCTATTCAACTATATACCATGTAATGGGATTTCTAACTTGTCCAGATTGGTTAACTAGAAAAACACTAGAGCTACAAGTTAAGCTGCTGGCATATTGAAAATCTACGATATCTGTTAACAGGATCTGACATCGTAATCAGGATCAAGAGCCAAACAACGCGTTCAAATTCAAGTATTATAATATCCAATCCAATTCCCCTAAACATCCAAAGAAACTACATTTTACTTCTATAGCCATCAAAACAATAATGCACCACCAGGAAGGAGGGAGGGGGAAAAAATCAAACCAAGACGAACCCAATAACAGCGTGCCGGTCCATCCATGGATTCGATCCGATGAAAAAATCTTCCTCATGCATCTCTATATCACTCCTTTGTTCCTGCAGAAACAAAACCCACATGAAAATCACTCCAAGAAGCGCCCCAAAATAAACTAATCAGATCAAGAAACGGGAGATGAAATCGAAATCGACCTACGTCTGCTTTGCGAAGGAGGAGGAGGAGGAGGAAGGAACTCGTTTGTTGCGGAACATCATGTAGCCAAGGGGCAGCACAACGCCCACCATCATGATCGCAGCGCCGATCAAGTATCTCGTTGGCCCCGGTGCTTCGATCTCCATTAATCTCCGCATCTGCATAAATTATAACGAGATGGGTTAGCAATTGGATCTCAACGAAACCCTAACCCTAACCCTAACCCTAGATCGAAACGAAGGAAGAGGGGCGGTGAAATTACCGGCATGATGCTTGATAGATGCGGATCGGGAGAGCGACTGAGTCTGAGATCGCTTGGAGGAGAAGGAGACGATCGAGGGGAGATCGGAGCTCGGCTGGCCCCTTCGCTAGTTTACTGGAGTGGTAATTGTCTTTTTAATCAAGGATCAATCTGCAAGGTATCAATGTAGGGTAAATTTCAGAAATACCCCCCTTAACTTTCAAAATGTCACAAAATCCTCCTTTGAGTCCCAAGCGCCCACTTCAATCTCCCTCTCTCTCTCTCTCTCTCTCCAACTTTCAACCTTTTCCTTAAGGGGTTGTTTGTTTGCCTAAGAAAAGAGGGAAATCAAAGAATATCAAACCTATTTTTAAGAAAAATTGTTTTAGGATTGTTTGGTTGGTTGAAAAAAAGAAGAAAATCAAAGAATGAGAGATGATATGAGATGAGTTGTCACATTATTATTGGATGATGTGAGTGATTTTTTAAGAAAATTTGTTTTGAGGTTGTTTGGTTAGCTAAAAAATAAGAAAATAAATTATAAGAAACCTATTTCCTGTAATAGGTTCTTTTCTTGTGTTTGGTTCATTCTTAAAAATAAGAAAATAGATGAGATGAGATGAGTTGTCATTATATTATTGAATGATGTGACCCACACTTAAGGAAATTAATTTTCTTGGTTTTTTTGAGGAAATTGGTGGAAATAAAATGTTAATGAGATGAGATGAGTTGTCACCATATTATTGGATGATATGGGTGATTTTTAAATGTGAGATGAGACGGAGATGAGATAAGTTGGATGATGTGACTCATTTCTTGTGTTTGACTTATTTTTAGGAGATGGCATGAGATGAGTTATGGGATGAAAATAATATTTTATTGGATGTTGTGGTGAGTTTTAGGGATTGAAATGGATAAAAATAATATTTTATTAATTTTCATGTACCATTTTCATTTTCTTGATTTTTAGGAAACCAACCAAAGAGCCCCTAACAAAACCAAGTAGATGTGTTAACCATAATTTTCACATGGGTGGGTAAATATATGCATAATAATATTTTTTTCCAAAGGTACGCGTTTTTAGAGGGGTTTTCTAAAATTGTTGAAAGTTTAAGAGAGTTTGCAGAGAACCCCCAAGCTTAAGAAAAGCTAAACTGGTGATTCGAGAAACACTCAAACTTAAGGAGAGTTTTGTGAAATTTATCCAAACATGTACCAAATGTTTAAATTGTTTTGAGAGAAACAATGGAATTTGCCAATTTGTATCTTCTTAACCATTTATTTAGGGTATTTTACGGGTTGTTTGGTTTACATGAAATAGTGATGAACAGCAAATGTACAAGCAAATTTCTATTCTCATTTTTTAATTAGTTAGAAAATAGTTGAGAATGGTAATTAAATTTAGGGTAAACTGTAATAAACCCCCAAAAAGTTTCAACATTTTGCAGCAAATTCTAATGACTTCTAAAATTGTACTAAACTTTAAAAAACTATTGGAATTACACAGAAGACCCTAATAAGTTGACCATAGAAGAGTTTTTTTTTAGGGAAAATCTCTTTTAACCCAAAGTTTTACCTGAACTTATTTAAAAACCCACTCATTTTTCAAAACACCAATAGACCCACTGTATCTCATCCCACTTATTTTTAAACCCAACATGTATAATACACCCATTTTTGTACTGTATTTACCCAATAAATTAAAAATTCATAAACTACCCTTCATCCCCAAATATAACCCATCCCCCTCACCCTCTCTTCTGTTTCACTTCCTCAAAGAGATCAGGAGAGATTAGGGCTTCGGCGAGGATATCTCTGGTTGAGCATCACTGGCGGCGAAGGGACTTGGGATCGACGGTGAGCGACGATGGGTGGCTGCTGCACGGATCTGAAAGCGGAAGACATTTGGGGGAATTTTGGTGGGCGTTGAAGAGGTAGAGCACATCAAATTCTTAGCAAATCAAGTGGGTAACACACGAATCTTCCCCTTTTCCTCTCTAATACTTCAAATTAAGCCCCTAGATCATCGAATTTCATTGCAAGTTCCTCATATCACTAATTTTTTTATATTGAATTCCTCATATCACTAAGTTATTTTATATTTGTCTAATGAAAAGGTTGGAACGATAAAATGATATTTCTTCTTCAACTAGATGGCCTTTCTTCAAGTTTTGTTAATGGATTTGTCCAAATAGAATTATAAACTAGGAATCCGGTAAATTTCTTGTAAGGAAAAAGATGACACAAAAGATAATTTTAGAAAATGACAAACAATTATGAAGTTAAAAATTCAATTCTAAAGGATGACAAGAAAAGATAACAGAGCACTTTTGGTGTTTTTATTTTTGGCATTGAATCGTTTTCATAATTGTGCCTGACAATGTTCGGCCTATATGCCTGATGCGGTATAAACATGTACCAAAAAGGTTGCAAGTGCACAACCGTGTCAAGTTATAGTATAAAGATATCGATCTCACGAGGAAGGTGTTTTTGTAGGAGAAAATATAAAATCGGTTCTTATGTTGTGTGCGTGACAAATAGGAGTGATGAGTGAATGTGATTGTGGAGAGATAATAAGAGTGATTGTGTGTAGATCAATGTGTTTGAGAATAAATGTGATCAATAAGGTAAGAAAGAAGAATGAATAAAATTGAGACACAAATCAAAAATAAAATTCAAGAATAAAAGAAAATGCAAGAAATTAAAGATGGTGGATTCAATTATAGATATGGGTAATCTAAAATTGAACCCACTTCTTAGAAAAGGGTGATTCCCTAGAGGGTTCTAGCCTAAAGGCGAATCAAACAAAATAAAAATAAACAAAAAGAAAAACTAAACCCAAGAGGGTTCTAGCCTCAAGGTGAATAGTGCAAGAAATTAAAATCTAACTACAAAATAAATTGCAAAATCTAAACTACAAAATAAAATTGCAAGAATTAAATGCAAGAAAATAAATCTACTCTATAAGCATGAAATAAATCTAAGGCAAGAGGGTTCTAACCTCTTGGCTATTTAACAAGAAAATAAAATCTAAACTACAAGCATAGAAATAAATCTACACTAATAAGCAATAAAAAGGAAATAAAAGAGAAAAAGGAAAGAAAATGCAAACCTCTAAATAATTCTTCATCTCCATCTTCATCATCCAACAAAGAGAAGAAATATTTAAAGTGGTGAAAAAATTATTATTATTAATTGCAACTAAAGTTACAATTTTGGAAGATGCTGGTATCGATGCCCTATCAAAATTCTGCTTTCGCAGATGGCTTCGTCTCGTCGAGATAGGTGATTTTCATATATTATATGTTAAATTTCGCCTTCCGGATTGAGAGATATCGTCGTTTCTTTACGGCCAACCATCTTGAATACATTTTTTTCATATTTGATTTTTTTTATTTTCTCCGGCTTCTACAGGCTACTCGGCTTGATTCTGGGCTTTGGATTTTTAGCTCTTACTTGTGTTCTTCATTTAATTCATGGGTTTTTGTCGAGAGATGAGATTTTGAGCTTTATTCTTACCCTGCAATTAAAGATAAAAACAATTATTAGTGGTATATTTATTTATATAAAATAGATAATGAGGGTATAAAATTATAATAATATGTGATTATCAAATACCCCCACACCTAAACTTTTGCTAGTCCTCTAGCAAAGAAAATAAAATGAAAGAAAACCGAACTCACTTTCGCAGGAATCACGGTTGTATTTAGCGTATACAACAAGCCTTTCAACCCCTAGATTACCCTAGTGGACGAGTTGTAGTCTCGTGAGGATTTGCAGTGAATATACCCATAAAATTCGGTCAACTTGCCAAATTAAAGAAGTTAGTAAATAACTAATTTTACTTGATAATTGAAGCTAGTTATTACTCAAGAAAATATTTTTATATATAACTCTAAGGTATATTTCCTAGAAAATCTTCTCATTATAACAATACAAAACCAAGTCAAACTTAGAAATTTAATTTAAAAGTTTTAAAAAGAACATGCTAACTCTTTGTTTAAAATAATATTCAAGTTGCTTGATCTAAAATATTTTCCAAGATCATATATACAAATATAACTATATATAAAACATTTATTAGTATTTTTATTTTTATTTTTATTTTTATATTATTTTTAACTCTTTCTCCCTTGGTGATTTTTTTCTACTTTAACGGGCTTTCTAAGTGACCATTTAACGAGTTTTGGGCCAATGGATCCCAACCCAATTGGGCTTAGGTCATTAAGTATAAAAATACTCCTTGGGCTTAATTACTCGATCAACTGAGGCTTTATAAGATAGAATCACCTTGAATTTAAGAGTTTTTTTTATGCCCATTTTTCGCACTCTTCTTTTGTAAAATTTTTATGTATATATATTGTAAAAAATATGTAAGTCAAGCCACTTTAAAAATTTATTTTTAACTCTAAGCTAAGCATGCATTCCATTATTTTAAATAAAGATCTAAGTTAAGGCTTAAGTAAAGTATACTACTTTAAAAATCATTTCTTAAGAACTTTATTTAGAGTTATCATAAAAGGTGAACTTGAGTAAACAACAGATTAGAAAATTTAAAATTTATCAAATAAATCAATTATTACATAACTCTATTAATTTGGCAAGTGACGATGTTTTTATAATTTTTTTAAGGAAAAGAAAAAAAATGACAAAAATGCAACTAAAAAATGTAAAATAAAGAGAAAAAATAACTAATTCCCACCCCACACCTAAATTTTGCATTGTCCTCAATGCAAACTCTATGATGCACAAAGTAAAGCAGATAAGAAGTGAAATACTTATATTTGGTCGGCTGATAAAAATTTATAATTACCTTTGGTCTGAGGAGGATGGAATCAAAAATTTATTCTTCTTTCTTTTTTTTTCTTTTTCTTTCTTTTTCTTTTCTTTTCTTTTTTTTTTCTTTTTTTTTCTTTTTTTTTT